GTATGAACATGCCACGTTCTTTTGAGAATACATTGTTTCTGTGTAATCTCACTCTGCCTCATGCAGGAACGCAGTGTTCCCGCTGAGACATCATACCCAAGTTGTCTCCATTCATAACAGATGTTATCTACATGTATTAGCACTTTGAAAACAAGCAAAACCTACCCACAGCTGGTGCTTACTATCAACAAAGAAGCCCTTCTCCTTGATAGGATATGGACAGAGATATACAATGAGTCATTGCATTGTGACAGGCCATGGGAGTTGTCCATGGAACGCAGTGTTCCTGACTGTTCCACCACTGGACCGTTCCAATGCAACGCTCAGCATTCCACTGGTGCTAACATGCTGTGCCAATGAGAATGTGCCATGCATTCTGACTTTTGAGATGCTCCTTTAAAATGCTAACCATTTGTAAGTGACCAAATAAAAATTTTTTTTTAAATTAACAAGCATATACGTGCGTGTTTTGCTTGGGCATGGATTCGCCTGAGTGCTTGTAATAGTGACTGGCTTGTGATGGTGAATTGACTACAGCAAATTCAGCTCTCACTCATGAATATGAATGAGATGTAATAATAGCCAGTAGCAAACACTCACTACTGAGTTAATCATCCCTTGAAAGACTCAGCCCACAAAAAACACTCAAGGTATCTTTTTATCTCAGTAATTACAATTCCAATCATGACTCTGTTGCAGCCTATTCACAGTCTGTCTCCACACTCTCTGAGGAAGTTACTGTGTCAGGTACTGGAGACAAACATCACCTCGGCCAGCCACTGTCGCACTTGGCTCCAGCAGCGTCAGTTCAGTGGTTCCCTTAACCGTACTCCACCCCATTTCTATGACAAAGGTGAGAAATACTGCTTCCATATGATGTTGGTCGTGGAAAATTCATAACGATTTGGTCTGTTTGACAGAGCTGTGGATAAGGGCAGATATGGAACTATAAGATACAGAACGGTATACCTGGAGTTGAGGAAATTTCCATGTGGTTATTGTGTTGAGATCAGACATGAGACCAGTCTTAAGACTTGTCACAATTTGCAGAGTAAGCAATGACAAGAGACTGTCTTCGTTGCTATTGTAGCGTAAACTAACGGGGTTCTTGTCCCCCAAGTTTGGCAAACACCAGGAAGGGGACCCCTATACACATTATTTCCAACCCTGGGACTCTGGTTTATTCATGCAAAAACACCGTGGTTGACTCCATGACGTGGTCAGCACAGCAACAACTATATATCCAGCCATCAACACCCAACAACTTAACACACAGTATAACATTGTGTTACTTTCCTCACCCTGGAACTTATTAGCCAAAACCCTTCCAGTGTAATAGTGGCAATTTCCGGTGTGTGTCCAGTACAAAAGAACCAGGTCAGGGCGCTCTGCTGGCAGCTAGCAACAGCATGACACGGCAACAAAGAAGCCTACATGAGTGTCTGTGGCACTATTGGTTTGCACACCTTGTGACTTAGATTCATAATGGAGGTCTTGTGTTGGCCCTGTGATGGTCTTGGAAAGGTCTTGTTATGAAAAAAAGAGGTCTCTACTACAACTCTGCCATGTATCCTCAATAGGAGCAGGAAGGTTTATCAAGTCATTTAAAAGAGGGATTTATTTACATCTCAAACGAGTGGTATACCTCCATTTTGATAAAATTGACACTACCCTCTTACATGTACCTCAAGGTAGAAACTCAGTGGCTGTGGATTGTTCTTCCAACACAAACATCATTCTCCCTTGCAGTGTGGGACATCATGGAATGCACGCCCAATGGCATCACCATAGCGGACTACTTCCTGCCCCAGCAGCCCACTTTGTCTGACATGACCCGGACTGACCTGAACTTTGCCCTCCGCATCGAGGAGATGTTCAGCCGCATTGCACACCCGGAATACAGGCAGCTCATGGTGGAGGTGAGGAGATTGCATCGTTTATGAGACAGACTTCGGTTGGTGATATTTATATGTTACATAGTCTGTCAAAATGAGGCACAGGTAGCCCGAGCCACTTGTAAGTAAGAGGCTTTTGAAAAAATCTTGCACATTGTAAATTAATGGTAATCCTCCAAACCAGTGCCATCCAAGTGGGAAACCTATTTTCCTGTATATGATGTAAAACTTCTCGGGATACTTTCATATTCATTCTTATGGAATCTAGTCTCAATCAGTGAGTTACATAATTTGGTATTCCAATTGCACGTGTGTCACTAAAATTGAACCTGGGTATTAGCAACTTATCACAGGTGTGCAAAATAATTCAGGCTACCAACGGGATTGATGAGAAGTTGTTCTGCATCGAACACAGCACTTTGGATTGCGCCGTGCTGCACAGCATTGTTTATGTTCCAGTTTTTGTCAGTGGTATTCCTGTAACCAGTCTCCTTTGTTTGGCTGAGAGTCAAACTCAGCTCATCTTTACATGCACTTTGGAATACCACACCAGTATTTGTGATTAGAGTCAGCTTGCACCAGCAATTTTATAGAAAGTCTCCTTAATATGTTTGTTAACCACTCCCTGCCGGGGATTCTGGATCCAGACACGTATGCTTTATATGCGTGGCTGGGGTCTCCGAACTCAGACAAAGGGAACAGGGCCTTGTAACAAAAGACCGTACTCGGAACAAAAGACCAGGCTGCTGGGAATCACCGACATTTTTTCACTCTCAAAAGTGGAGATAATCCAGACTTGTTTTGAAAGAGTATACCACGGTTTGGGGCATTTAGAGCGAGTGGATTACCATCGGGGACAAAAGCGCTCCACCACCACAGCGATGAGCCACACAGCACCGCTGCATGCTAATCTGGCCCCTATTGAAAAGAGGTCAGCTGCACACTGAGCCAGGTTCGTGAACAAAAGAAAGTTATATAACACCGCACAATCTGGGCTCTTTTTACAAGGCTGCAGGCCTGGCTGAAATACTCAGGCGTCAATAGATTTTGTCTGCCGGGCTAGAGTGGACACCAGACAGTCCTTCACGTGTTTGTAAGTGTCCAGTAAATGAAAATAGGAATTTTTAAAGAATTTTGAAAACAGAAAAAAATGATAAATATCCCGGCCCAGCATCATCAACATTGATAACTGCCCCGACAGGAAGTGGTGAATTAATGCAACCTGCAGGCATTACGCATTATTATACAAGTGATTTCTTGGAGTTGCCCTCCTTTCCTGTGCTTGTTTACCAAGCACTGATAAGTTGTAATCTTTAAAATTGCTCTTCCTCAGCTAATGACGGTGATATCCACCATCTTGAAAAGAAATCCAGAGTTGGAATTCCAGAACACTGTCAATACAGATGCTGTAAGTCACTTCTTATTTTGCTCATTCTGAACTCGTTTTTTCCAAGATGTATGTATCCAGGATGTATTCTGAACTCATGTAACAATTTTTTGTTTGTCTGTGTGTTTCTAGCAGTCTCCTACCGAAAACATATGAAATGCCATTTTTTGAAAAACTAGTGTATGGGTTAAGTGGAACGCATCAAAGACATTTGCATTTTGAACCATGTTCTTACATGGGCATGATTCCAACCGTAGTGCAGACTTTATTCAAATATTGATTCAACCATAGCAATTGGAGGTGTGCATTTTGTTGTCCATGAGCTAAATATCAGACTCCACTTTCAGTCATATCTAGTAGAATTTGTTCCATTGAAAGTTGTGTATTTCATGCCAAATATCATGAAAATGATAGACTCCCAAGCATTGAAAGTGTCGAGACCGTTCAACTTCGTGTTCATTTTCGATAGCTTATTAAGGAGACGCTCACTCTATTCAAGGAGCACCATGCCAGCCAGGGCAAGTCATGTGACATGCAGGATTTTTACAATACACCGCCTGTGGGGACTCACGGCACCATGAGTTTCTTGGCCAAGATCATCGTCAACCATCTATTGGATGAGAGCATGGACACCTCTATGGATGACTGCACGATCAGCTGAGGCAAGATTTAGTCAATCAAGGTGGATCTTTGGTGCGAGTGAGGGGGACATCACCACTGGAGGCTCACCAGCTTCAGCCAGAATGAGAGAATTTGTGACGTGTACATAGTAATCAGTTATAAAGCATCAAAGCCCTTTAATACATGGCATTGTCTGGTGAATAAATAGGGCATGTGGGTGGTAATATTGATTAAGTCAATGATGCATTTAATGTAAAAAAAAAAAAAACCAATCAATAAGGTGGATTCCTTTCCTTGCCATGGTGACATGTCGAAAAAATGAATCTGGTGCTTGTCCCAAATTTAGATGTTTGGGTTTCATTGTCCAACTGTTTTTGTCTTTGTAAAAGCAACTCACCGTACTCTTTGCCCCTTGGAGAAGGTCATTTTATGTGCAGATTAAGAAGAGGTGGTACTCTCAACAAAAAACAATAATGCATGATAAATGGAGTCACTACAGAACTGTATACATTGTGTAGACTGGTCTGGAGCCCTTTGCCTTGGTGCTTGATTGTAGGAATGTTTGAGCAGTTTGGGTGCAATAAAGCTAACTCTTTAGAGAATTAAAACTGTTGGAAATAAAATTTCATTTATCCTGAATTCTGAGGTTATTGGGCTGGAAACCTACTGGGTGCTTATAAAATGATTTCTATGTTCAGCCTTCAAGTTGAAGACAAATTCGGTGTGCTTAAGAAATTTTCAAGGGGCAAAAAGGTGACCGTTTCCACCATCCTCACAATCACACAAAATCTTTCAGAACGCAGTGAATTTCAGAAAATTGTGGAAATTCAATCAGGTTAGTAATTTTTCAGAAAAGTTATCGTGCTTTCTTAAGGAGTGTCCGCAGTTTTCAGAAACATATGAGGATCAAAGTGTTTTTCTACGTGAAGAGCAAGAGAAGATGTTGCAGGAGCTTTGCTAGGATATGGACAAAAAGAGATGTGTTTGTCTCAGTGCCTTTGGGAGTTGAGACAATGGTGTATTTGGTCTAACAGGAAGTATTTCTTTCATTGGAATATGAATTAGATGTTGATAGTATACAGTGTGTGTGAAATGTATGATTTAAATGTATGATAGAAATAATGTATATTTATAACAAATGCTGATTGTTAAAGTTTCATATATTTAAGTTAGTAGCATCTATAGCAATACATGTGTCATTACATAGATAATTATTCTGATGTCCCTTTAACTGTCAACATACCAGCCTTGCAAACCAACCATGTCAGTCACAAGCAAAATGACAAGAACCACAGGTTGTCACTTTTCATTAGGCAGGATGATTTGTGATTGGCTCATGTTTGACTAGTTTACCGTCAGAGTTCTCTCTACTTTAGTAAAACCCAAATTCAATGTGATCAGTACAACAGGCAGTGTTTCCATTGTACCCAATGCTGATTCTCACTAGTCATTCACGGACAAGTTATTCCCATCTCAAGTGGGCTCACAAGCTGTTCATCCATAGGAATATTTATTTCGACATGTTCATCCAGCAGGGCATTTAGCATGTGACAGTTAAGAAGATAAAGAAGACATGTTCAGTTTTAGAGGTGGGAGAAAAAGCCCAATAGATATTCTGGGGGAACCCACAGAGTCAGACAGGGACTGAAAACCCATTCCATATGCAGACCTAGGTGTGATTCGAACCCGGGCCACAAATGTGGAAGGCGAAAAAAGAGCCCCTGCAATCACATGACTCCCTCAAATGAACTGTGGCAAAGACACTCCTCTGTCATTGTTCGTAGCCTGTATGCTTATGACCAGACTCTCGAATTGCCTTGTAATTTACTTTTGGCTGGAGTATTGATGAAGGCTTCAGCGACAACACCGACAGTGGTATAGGTCTTGCATGGCAGAAAGTGTCCATTGTATAACAGTGACGTGCACGGGTGAATCAAGGTGGCATCCAAAAATTTTAAAAGGAGAGAGAGGAAAAAGTGATTTTGAAGGGTCGATTTTTATCTGCTTTCGTTTCAAAAGCATCTAAAAAGTCCGACAATGTCATCTCACCCCCTAGATAGGCCATAAAAGGTTACATGACAAAATTTCCAAATTTTTGGTCCCCCAAAATAAGCCCCCCCCATGCCCTAGATTATGTACAAGCTATGGAATGTTGTACTCATGTATCTCCATATGGAGCCTTATTGTAAAAATGAGCATTGAATTCGGTGTACTATGTTTTGCGAAGTGCAGCCAGAAAGAACACCTTGACAGCATTCAAGTAGTGGTATTTATGAATAATGGCTCCCTCTTCGGCGAACAGCGAAACCAAAGTTTGGAAAATTAACAACTAAAAATGTTTAATGAAACCATTGGTGTGATTTTTGTGAGTTTATTCCTGTGTTTGAAAGCTTATGTCCACTCGACCTTTGTGCCCCTATCAGAGCTGATGTGGAGCCATGGTCTTGTATACCCCTGGCCTTTATAGACCTAAAAACATAATGAAGTCACTATATACATGTGTGCTTTTGTGGGCATTTGATGGATCATGTCCCATGTACCTCACTGTGGCATAGGAAAGCACACATGTAAACAAGCTTGATGTCATCATGTCATATTCCAAGGCTATTCCATGAAGCAAAGGTTAAAGACCATTATTGATGTCATGAATTTGACTCGGGGGCAGTGGGGGATGCCACTGGCATCAGATAAAGTTAGGGGCCCTTTTCCTGTTGAGTAAACCATCAGATCCAATTTAAAAGATTTTTCATCAGATTTTTTTTGGGGGGGGCTATGATGGGGTGGTGCTTTGGTAATTGGGAGAGGGGAGTGCTGCCACCCCTCGGCCCTCCCAACCGTTTTGTAGTTTTGGTATTGTACTGATCAGGTACGTTGATTTCATACTTTTGCCTTTAATTGTAAGATCCTTCTCATGATTTAGCATTAGAGTGTAACAGCAACTTGTTCATTGGGAAAGGAATATGTGAGTCTGTCAGCTTCCTTGTTTCTTCTTCTCTAGAGAGTAGGAAAGTTTAAAAATTGAAGAGATAATCATCCTGCACTTGCCACCAGCTTCTGTCATGTGTTTTCTTTTGACTTCAAAAATTACGCTTGCAGCTGATGACTTGCACAATTAAAAATAACTTGGACGGTTGCTGATTTATTTTATGTCCGAGCAAATTAACATCACGGGACTGCTTATCTTATCACTCTAATTCAAACAATTGTTACTGACTGGAATTTTGTACTCGGCGAATATGGTTTGACCACGGTTTGACGCCACGGTTGAAACTGACCCATAGAGTTGGATATAATGATGAATTATATCCAACTCTATGAACTGACCCCACCAAGCCATTCCAAATTGTTTATTCACATGACTTGAAGTAAGTCACATGAGAAATCAGATGATGCAAGCTTGAACCTCGTTACCGATAAGCGAACAGATATACACTAGTTGGCTAATACCTTACATGGGTCGAATCAGTGCGAACGAGGTTGAATCTGTATCCAAAGTAAAACAGCACGTGATGATCGAAAGCATGTACTGTACATGTAGCTGGTACGTACGCAGCGGTATGCATTAAACGACGTGGACTGTAAAACAACGAGAAATTTAATTTCACCATTTCCTTGCTGTAGGAAGTTGTGAGACACAAAAGCTGTTCTCAGCGACCGTTTAGTCAAGCGTGTAGACGTTTCTCGTCTTTTTTCATGCAGGTTATGAAAATGAATGGTTCGCCAGCTTTAGCCGTTCTTGTCTGCGTCTTTTGTGTGACGTCGGGCCAGCCAGCCGCCGATGAAATCACCTCTTTACCGGGTGTGAGCGGATCGCTTAGTTCCAGGCAGTATTCCGGCTACCTCAGAGCCTCAGGAACCATCAAGCTGCATTATTGGTAAAAAAACAGCAACTTGCTTGGAAAGAGATCCATATGCAGACAAAACTAATCTCCCCCTTAAAATGTTAGCTGAGAAATTTCTGAAGCATTTACTTAGAAAACACTTTTGTTCTTTCAGACAAGTCTCGTAACTTTGTCGTAGGTTTGTGCACGTGCAGGTATAAAATGTTGTCAATTATATTGGTATATGGAATTCTTTCCACTTTTTGAAAGATTCGTGTATGTACATGTAGGCCAATTGACTTAGTATTGTACTAGTGCCATGCAACATGTGAAATATGAATCCTAATTAATAGCCGGAGGGAGCTACATTGTATATCAACATAAGTTTGGGCTGATCAGACATGTCAGAATTAATTTCTTGTTCCCTGTCATGATCACTGTATCCCCCCTCCCCCACCTGGAATTTTTTTGTAGTTGATATTTTGATTTTGTATCAAAACTCTAGCATTTTATTTCAACCTTGCATGAAGTTGCAGACTACATGTACTTCGTGCTGAAAAAAAAATGGTCTCCCTATTGCCGCATGTTGGTCATTCACGCAGGGGTGTGAGAATTCAGCTTTTTAGCTGATTTCAGCTCTTTTTTTTGTTTAGACGTTGACCCGGAATTTCACTTTTTTGTACACTACACCTGGTTTGTACAAAAGAATTTACATGTAATTTTATCAGCCTGTACAAAGTCAGCAATCTTTTCAACGGAACTACAGGTTTGTCGAATCTGAAAGAGACCCTGAGAATGATCCCTTAGTGCTGTGGATGAATGGAGGCCCTGGATGTAGCTCATTGGACGGTTACCTGTCAGAACTCGGACCATATCAGGTACATATGTACATGTGTGTCTGTGACTGTGATGGTAATTGTGACTTTGTTCTACATGTACATGTACTTTTGGAAGAGAAGAGTTGGCTTTTCAGTGCACTTTTTTCTGCATGATTGGTCTGACTTACATACATTACATGTACTAGCTTAAGACATCTAGTTTTCAAAAGCATGATCATCAAACTTAGAAAATTCTGTACATTTTACATATTGGAAACCATTTTCAGCAAATTGTACTGAAATGCCAGAGTTGAAAACACCAAATTGTAGGCCTACCAGTTTTTCAAAGCCATCGAGCCCACCAGTTGCAACACTTTGGTTTCTGATATCATCATGGTGTGACATTAGCCATCTGTTGACTTTTCAATAGTTTGTCAAGTGATTTTTTTAAAACTTTGAACACACTTTGTGTTCTTGTACATAGAATCTTTTTATCTCACTTTGTTTTTTACTAGTTGTGTGGTATTTGTTATTGTGGAGACATTGCAACCGCCCTCTTTTATGGATCACTCAAGAAAGCTAACTCTATCTGGTTTTTTTTAGGTAAATGATGACGGGATGACTTTGCGAGCCAATAAATACAGCTGGAATCAGGTGGCAAACGTCATCTTCCTTGAGGCTCCAGCGGGTGTGGGCTTTTCCTATTCAGATGACAAAAATTACACCACAAACGATGATGAGGTGTGTTGAAATTTGTGTCCATACCTTGTGATGGGATTTAAAAAAATTAATAGATAGCTAGGATGAGTTACGTTGTTGTGGAGAAAATAGTTGTTCAGAATTGTTTTGGTCAAAAGAATTACATGTAGGGCCGGATGACTGTTTATGTGTATTTTAAGCAAAAGTAATAATTGAAAATAATGAACTGCTTTATTTTCATACTGCCAAGGCCTACCAATTTTAGTAATAGTAATGCATGTTGCAGCTTTGAGTATCTTGATTATTGTAATGTCTGAATTAGAATAGTGAATACCTGTACATGTAGCTTGGGTTTGGTTACTTGATATCCTCTTCGGAAATCTGAAAGAATTTTCCAGAAAGAAAGCACAACTTTTTCACTGGTCATTTTTTATGATGATCAAGTCAAAATAGTCGTTTTAGCATTGAAAAGAACTTTTATGAATAAACTTGTGCATTTTAATTTAAAGAGCATTAGGGCAGGAGTGTTGTGCCTTGCAAGTTTTCCGTGGGAATGGTGCGATGGTGAGCTGTACATGTGACATTAGGTTCTTAATGATAATCATGGTTTTATACATATGGTTTACAGTGAGGAAAATGGCTACCAAGCCCCAGTAAAATCTATTAAAGCAAACCTATGCAAATATATTCAGTGGTTTCCAAGTTGGCAACGCTTTGCATTCATACTGTAAAGAAAATCTGCGATAAGGAGGTTTGGGGTGCAAATTAAAAAAAAAAAAAAAATATGTCAGGGAACAGATGGGGACTAGCAGTTGTTTGAGCTTTTTCATCATTTTTCAATAAAATGATTCAGTTTGAGTGGGGGGGGGTGGCAACTATATGTACTGGTCATGCTGGTAGTCAATGCAAACAGTTTATTGTTTGGCCATACCATGCTACAGTCGTTTGGAAGATACTGCAGCTTTTTTCCCCCTAAAAATACATATGTATATGCAATGTTTTGGGGTACTTGAAAAGATCAATTGATAATCAAACATCTACATGTACTTTAGGTCTGATAAAAGTGGGTAAATAAAATGATATGTGGACCCATCAAAACTAATGCTAGTAGGGGGTAATAGAGATTTTCTAGGTGATATGAAAATGATGATACTGCCATACACGTACATGTAGATGCATTAATTAAAAAATAATCTTGCCTGCCTTAGTTGTAAAAATCTTCATAAATTTTGTTACATTCATTTTGTTTTACATATTGCATTCATTATTTCAAGATGGACTTTGCTTTTGGGATGTTAATTTAATAACAAGTTTTTTGCCCTTACCTGCCATACAAATTTATAAACACTGTATAGTCAGTGTTTGTCAGAGAGCTTGCAAAAAAATTCACAAGCTCACTTGGTTGGGACTCGAACCCATGACCTCCCGCTTCATAATACTAATGCAGATGTCTTAATATTCATTACGTACTGTATATTCATTATGCTATGTGCGTGTGTGCCGGTCTGTGTGAACTAAAAAATAGACTTGCAAACTTACTGTCCCATACATGTACATGTATGCTAATAATTGGAATATATGGTCTTTTATTCTTCAGACTGCTGAAAACAACTACCTTGCCCTTCTTGATTTCTTCAAGAAATTCCCCAACATGGCCAACAAGCCATTCTTCATAACTGGAGAGAGCTATGGAGGCATATATGTGCCCACTTTATCTGTCAGAGTCATGGCCAATGCGTCAATCAATTTCAAGGTGAGAATCAAATGGAACCTTAAGCTACAAAATAAAGATATTTGGCTGACTTACGCTACTTGAACACTTGTTTTAACAAGATTCACTACTTGTGCCATGTAACTCAAAAGAGAAGAGTTCACGGCTTTGGAAACACTGTAAAATGAAATAAGATGTTGTAACTTTAACAGTTCAAGATTAGTAGTTTCCTGTTCCCTTTTCAGTTTGGTGAACGTGAAAGGAAAAAGTAGTTTTGTTCTTTGGATGGTTTCAGTTTTGTTAATCCTAACCTTCTAGGATGTATGTAAAATCGTATTGAAATTGGAGGATTTGGGACTGTTAAGGTGTTAAGAAGAATCTAGAACTTACCTGTATCTGTTTGTATCTGTCAGGGTTTTGCCATCGGTAATGGCCTTCTTGACACCTATCTGAACACGGAAACAGCTGTGTACTATGCCTACTACCATGGCATTATTGGTGAAGAGTAAGTGCATATATACATGTACATGTAGTTCAGTATCCAAGCCATTCATTGTTGTGTTTTTCCCCACCGGCCCTTTTGGAATGAAACCCATATTAGAATTTTGCCAACTCTCAGTTTTGAAAGACTCTGTGCTTGTTTAATTACTGCTCTAATTCAGTTGCTTTACATGAGGGTGTATTATATTAAAGCTTCGCGTACATGTACATGCACGCGGCAAAGAAAATATATTTCAGCACCCTGTAGAAGTGTTGACTTTTGATGTTAAAATGAGCACAAAACACTCTCAACTCGCATGTACAGGTTTTAATGGGCACAACTACCCAAAAACAAAAGGTAAGGGTAGTACAATTAGAAAGAGTGTATGGGGGAGTAGATGGCCAGCATGGGCCACCCAGGCCGTACGGCCCTTAGTTTTCAGGTTTGAAGAAGAAGCTGGGATGACATGTCATTTTCTTTTGTTTTGTCTGCAAAAGCTCGTGAGAATTCCAAGCCCTGATATAGGGGAAAAATTCATTTCAAATGTACAACATTTTTTAATGTTAAACACAGTTGTGCTATAAACTTAAACTTTCATAGAATTATGTTAAACCTTTTTTTCAGCATATGGGCGAAGTTACAGAAGTACTGCTGTACCAACGGCAGTTGCAGCTTTGTAACACCACCAAATAAGCAGTGCTCCCTTGCTGTAAGTTACTGCAAATGGTTAATCAACTTCAGTTTTATGAAATACTAATTGTGAAACAACCTTTAGATTGACTTCCACTACTGTGGAAGTTGAAGTATGAAAAGATGTGATTTTGGACATGTTACTCCATATATTTCTTCAAATAAAAAACTGACAAGTTATCAATTTTTCTTGATCACATCACATTTGATGATGTACAAACATGTACGTACTTCGTTCATTTTTTCCACATGTGTGTCATACAGTCTTACATAGGCAGAAATTCCAATACATGGGAATTTACTTTAATGCACATTAAACTTTTATACTAACTTTTTATCAGTACTTTTGAAAACTTTACATTTTTAAGTCATTAAAAGGCTTGAACTTTCTCTTTAATTTTGCCTACCATTTGATTTTCCTTGGAAATTGTTTGAACTATATGTGGCCACAGAACCCAGAATATACCTTGCATTCCACAGGGTTTGGAATTGCATACAGTCTCTCAAAATGTTTGGATATCATCAGAATTTCATCTACAGTTAACCGTACATTTTATATTTCAAGGTCACACAAGCTACCCTGGTCAGTGCTAATCCAATCTAAGTCAGCTGTTAGCATTGCTTGTCACAAATGGGACTGATTTATAAGAATTAAAGCAGTTCTGTAATCACACTTTCTGTCTTTGTTCATAGTCAGGAAATTGAAAGTATTGTCAGTCTCTGCAGTACGTTGTAAACGGAAAAATAACTGAAGTGAGCAGCTTTTTCGATTTGACAGGAGATATACATATGCCCTAATGGGTAGGTCATTTGCTGAGTTGACGTCGAGGTACTTTCTAATGCCTTGTTGAGGTTGCAACAGGACAGACTCTTAATTTGAGTTTTTACTTTTGCTGCGGTGGCAAAGCTTTACAATCTGCAAATTTAATCAGATAAAAGATAAATTTATTAAAAACTAAGTCAACGAATCCTTAATTCATGCTCATTTTACATTTGTTATCTCCACTGATTTTCTTTAAACTGTTTGGCCTGCTCCTCATCTTCATGCTGAGTAGTTGATGGAAACCCAGGACTTCACCATGAATAAAGGTCTCAATCCATACGATGTTACTGGTGACTGTGCTGGGGGTGTCCCATCAGACAGCTTCAAGGAAAGAACTCGCCAAGTCTTGTCATATTTCTTTGAGCCACCTCATCCCAAACAGGTGAGACTGTGCACATGGACTTGCCCACTTTATTGTCACTTTTGTAGTTTTTATGTTTGCCAGAAAGACAGTCTTGTGAAAAAGCATCAAGACTGTCCCTTATTTTTTCTAGTACCTAAGCAGTAGTAAATACATGTACGTTATTGTTGGTTTTTGTGAAAGCATAGACTCAATCAACTCATCACAAGTCGTTATGATATGCCAAACTCCAATCACCATCCAGCCGCAAGTCACAAGTTGTTCGAATGAACTTTGATAAAAACTCTTCCCGAATTGACTTGCGACAGATTTAATGATTGCCTACAGGTACATATATATATACTGTTCACCATTGCTTGATCACATCTCTGGCAGACATAGAGCTGCAGCATTTGCAGCATAGTGGGGAAACGGCTTCCTAGATAAGCTTAAACTGTAAATTTACACCATCCTCCCTAGCAAACACAGAATTATCAAGGCTTAGATTAGCAGTAAGAAATCAAGTCGATGATGCTCTGCCAACAGCAGTTGCAATATTTACGTGAGGGTGTGGAATATGTGGCTCTTTCTATCTGGCTGTCACTCTCGTTGAGCATGATGGCCAGAGATACATGTATATGTATAATGAAACTAATTCTAAGGAAGTTCCCTCTGGATTTAATTGATGTTTCCTGACAGCCACTGAAGAACAAAGTATCAGGGTCATTAGATAGCAACAACATCATCCCCTGCATCAACACCACTGCAGAGAATAATTACTTGAATCGTCCTGAAGTCCGGAAGGCACTCCATATTCCTGACGTTGTGCCCAAGTGGAAAGTCTGCAGGTGAGGTGAACTTCACCAGAGGAAATTGTCATTTGGTACCGTGTACTCATGTTGTGTTTGGATTCATGTGTTGACCTCTCTTTGCTATGTCACAAGCACAGTTTTTGCTAATCAGTGTACACTCTGGCTGTGTAGTACAAAAGCAACAGAAATTCAAAAAGTCTTTAAACTGTCATGCCTATGTACGCACACTATTACTGACAAATACTTTTTACTAAATACATGCACTAAATGATTTAACTAGAGCCACCTTATTCCTCCCCCTTGCCCTCCCTCACAGTGTTCTTGACTACCATCGAGTATACAACAGCATGCGGGCCCAGTTCAATGCCCTTCTCCCAAAGCACCGAGGCCTGGTGTACAACGGTGACGCAGACATCATGTGCAACTTTTTGGGCGACCAGAAGTTTGTGGCCTCCCTGAAACGGACGGAGAGGGGTGAGCGGAGGCCCTGGATTTACAACCAACAGGTGGCCGGGTTCGTCAAGGACTATGACCAAGTCACATTCATGACAGTGAAGGCTGCCGGGCACATGGTGCCCAGCTTCAAGCCCGGGGCTTCTCTGCAGATGATCACTAACTTCTTGAGCAACCAGCCACAGTAATTGATAAGTCTTCCAAATTCCTGCTGAAGACATATGGTACATACATGATAAATAACAAGCAGATATATATAGGCCTTCCATGTACTCATTTGAAGCAAGCATGAATGGAAACTTCTGCAGTTGAAATTTGGGGTTGTCGTGAGAAAATTAGAACAATATGTCAGTACTTATTAAAGTCCTTGGGGGGGAGGTGCTTGGCTCAAGAAGAATTTAGAAGTGTTATACTGGCATTGGACTTTATACTTGGGAATTCAATTTTCCATTTTACATCAGAGGGTGAGGTTAAAACCCTGTATCCCAAAGGCGTCTTTCAATGAAAATCTGAAATGTTAATAGACTTTTATTCTTCTTAAATTTTGTAAAATGGATCCACAACTTGGTTCTGAATTACATACGTATATACAAAGTGGTGTTTCACTATTTCTGCAGTGATTGTACATTCTGACTAAAGGTAACAATATTTAGGATAATCAGATTGCTGCATAAAGGATCCACTATCATTGCATAGATTGTTATAAAAGTAAGAGTGCTTAAATTATTACAGCATGGCCTGAAATTACTACTTTTTTATCCTGACGTATTTTTGCCACAGAGGACCCTGCGCATTGGATTATTTTAGCCTGGAAAAAGTAGTTTTTCTGAGTCTTTTCATTCTGTGTTGCAAAATTAGTTGTGAGTTGGAGGTAGCTTTGTCCAAAGGAAATGTCTGAATTATTTATGTAGAAAGCTGAAATGTGCTAGTGAAACTAACGATAGAGATCTTTAACTTGAAATTTTCTTGAAATATTTGAGGACCATGAAATCTTTAAAATCCAACATTTTATCAATTACTACAAGTTTCCATTACAGGCTGTATTGTTGGAAAATTTGTATTTGTCAACAAAATGTTCTTCCAAAATGATGAAAATAAATACCCAACATGAAATAGTTTATCAATGTTAGACTTGTACAAAAACATTCTATCTCATAGGAAGGCATATTTTCTTGGAATCTTTAACCCATGTCTCACATTTCAAAATATGCTCTCTCGGTTTGAGAAGTATCAAGTGTGAATGCCCAGTAAAATGCCTAACCACGGATCTCTGAGGTACATAAATATAAATTATCAATGTATTTGCTAACTCTGTTTGTATGTGACATCTGAACGAGAAAGAATGATCTGTATTTGCACTTCCTCATTCAGTTGTTTCAATCTTTTATTTAAAACTGGGTCTAGTGATGCACATGCATGCTTGGTCTATGATAGATTGTCACATTGTATGAAAGGTATATGAGAGGTAAAGCAATCCACCACTTGGTGTACTCAGTTTAAAACCCTGCCAACATTTGACAATAGCAAGAGATACTTCACCACACCGTTCAGCTGTGACATCAAGTCTGGCAACATTTAAAGACTTCACCCTACAGGTAACAAGGATGCCTAGAGTTTTAGGTTTCCATATCACTGTATTCCTTTTCTTCCTGTGCACCCTGCTTTTGTGCATTTTCCAGTAATATTTTACAACCAACTTCTTGCTGTGAAATGGTCTTAAACCCTGGTTTTTTTTAGGAAAGCACTTTACAAACGGTACATGTACATGTGAGGTTTTGTGGGCTATGCATGGTCACAGGTATTGAAGAGAGACTCAGTCACATGAATACCCAATTATCATCCTGAGGTTAGGCAGCTGGACAAATCTATTTATTATTATCATTGATAAACTGCACATTTTCAGATGAAAGTTATTAATGTGCAATCTATGCCACATTCCCATGTGTAGATTTGTCAACATTGGTCTTGTTTCTCATATGTGTCTCTATCCACATTCACTGAAGCATTTTCAATAAGTGAAGGTGTTGAAACCTACATGTATGTTGTAGTGCAGTACAATAATGCCATTTCTTTACCATTGTTTACAGTGGCTATAGTTTAACTCTCGGATCAGTCCATATGTCACATGTACATATATCATATGTATATGTTTTTGGAGAGGTAAAAGAAGACTGCAGCTTTTTTCTTTGCACAAGTTTTGGTGTAATTGTATTACTCAGGTGTGAAAAGCTCCTTGATTATGTTGGAGAATTAAAGGATTCAGATACACACTATCATGCGGTTATGTACTACATGTGTGTGTGGAATTTTAGCGATAACAATTTTATGCTGAAGGTTTTTTTCTGTACTCAGGTTTTGGTGTGATTGTGTAAATCTTGCATATGTGTGAGGCGTTTAAGTAACAGAATTGAATAATTTAGATACATATTAATGTTTTATTTCCAAAAACATTCTTTTCACGCTTTTTTACCAACCTAGGACAAATTTATATTCTAGATGTTTTCCATTGTACAATAGAAATGTGCAATTAAATGAAGTTAATCTAGCTGATAGCCAAAGTTACACAGAAATTGTTTCAGAGAAAAATTCATTGCAGCTACACTTTAACTATGTGGACTAAATGTGCATTAATTGTACTAAAATTGACACAAGTTGGAGCTAACTATGATTGTTGCTGAATAAAAATACAATTGGACCCAAAAGCAGGACAAGCGGAGTCCTTCTAATTATGTACAGTATGTTGAGTTTGTAAATATGCAAGACCATTGTGCACCTTGTCAACTATGCATAGGGCCCAATACTTTGGCTCATTGCGACCAGGGGGAGTGGAAAACATTCAAAAACACTTGAAATTGTTTGTGAAAAAGGTATCGTGTAGGTGGATTTCTGTTCCATTTCATCAACTGGCACTTGGCCACTTTTCGACGTGATTGTGAACTCTCCTTGTGTTGAAGCTCCCAGACATTCGTCAGTTTGATTGTTCAACATTCTGACACACCGACCAGACCTTCAACAGTACAGGTCACATGCTAATGCTATATGATGAATGTATCTTGTGCTGGATGCTGATGACATGTCTTGCCCGTGTGATTATCACAGGATGATATTCTTAAAAAATAGAAAAGGAAGAACATAGTACAAAAACCAGTGTATGAAGACCATGCAGGCATTGTTATACATACATGTATACACCATATCGTTTTGTTGCTGCGGTAGTCAATTCTTGGGGAGGGTAATGCTGTACATTAACAGATGCTAGAATCTAGACATGTGCAATGTACATAGGTTGGACTGCGTCTCCACTTGAGACTTGCAAACTTTTTCATATGGTGTTTCTTTTCTGCCAAATAGTTCAAATAATCCCCCCCCCATGTTTTACCTCTTCTCATATCACAAACACTACATGCTGGGTTAACCCTGAAAGATTTGAGAGGAGGAACCCCTTCACATTTCCTAAAAAATCATCACAATGTATTTTTTCTTCTGAGTGTTTACAAAAATGTAGACACCATGAAAAACTGGATATAATATTCTTGCAAAATGTCCATTCTTCCAAGGCACATCAGTAAAAATGACGATCTTTCCCCAGATGTGCCCAATGAATGCAGGCTGGCATGCGTGCGGCCATGTGTCAAATATAAACCCAGCAAGCAGTTTGAGAGAAAAAAGTTTTCAATCACGCTACTAACTAACCCGAAAGTGAAGAAAAAAATGATTCTCTTGACAAAGTCAAGTAAAAGTAAAACTGAAATCTTTATAGTTCATCTGAACTCAAATTGATATCAACAAGAACAAAATATAAATGAAGTTCTCAAAACTAATAATCAAAATCAAGGCCAGAAGGAATATCGGAAAGAAAAGAAAATCCAAGCTTTGCATGTACATGTATTATCAAATAAAATCTGAAATAAAATTATAAATCAAACAGCCTGAAGAATATGATAATCAAAACTCTTCTGAATGAATAAATCAATGCATTAAGATCACACCAATGAAAATTATACAAATTGTCAGCTTAACTGAACATGCAAACTTAAAACAGAAGATAGACAGGTTTAGACAGCAAATCAACAATAATGCATGCACAATAATCTGACTTAAGCAAGACACCATCCCTACAAGAATCATAAATCAAAGAGGTTCTTAGGTATGTGTCACACTGGTCTGTTTGGACAAAGAAGAGAGATATGTCTTGGGCCTCTCTATTTCTCGGGTCATGTCCCGGACAGCCAACGTTGCTGGCAAGCCCTTTCCAACTGGACATCGGTGGTTATAGGTAGCAACATGGGACGTTCTGTTGTCTGGGCCTCATATTCAACAGTGAATGTCTGGACACTTCTTGAAAAAAAAATAAATTGGCTGAAAAGCATGGCCAGTAACAACAACCAAGGTTTCAAACTTCTTGACCGGCGTGGTATACCCCAACATCAAGATGTGATTTGGGCAAGGGAAAGCTGTAATCTTGAACATCAAGATTTTTTAAAAATAATTTTTTTTTTTTGCTGTTGCGTGTCATGACAATGCTGCAAGCGGAGATCAAATCTGCCTTATTTTCTTGTGTACATGTGTTATCCCCCTTTTGGGTTCAGGGTACACCCACACAACAAAACAGTGCATTCCCTTCACTTGGGTATTCACATGCATGCCCCCCCACACACAAGTGTGTATTTGCCTGCAACTGGGGACCCCCTATTGTTCCTCTATTGTTTGTACTTTAACTTTTTTAGAAGACCACCCATATGTTTTGTAAACAGTTGTCAATGGGGGGGGAGGGCTCCTCTGTCAATCGGGGACCTTATTGTCCTCTATTGTTCAGGGTCCCAAATTGCATGCAGAAACAAACTCAGTAACACAATATGCATTTACAAGTACTGTTGATCGGCTGACAACGGCATGAGTACATGTACATGTAGACTTGTCTCAGTCCCTCCTCTAGCTAGTGCAATTTCTGACATCAGGAAATATAAGTGACTATGACAACAAAACCAGTGTACACTGTAGGATAAAAATGGCCTATTCAAACCAATTGATTTTTTAATTGGATTTAATTGGAATGAATTGGGTCCAACTGGCGGTCAATTGGTGCTCATCTGTTTTCAGTAGGTATGTTTTCTCTCCCAATTTGTTTTCCCCCGTCAATAGGAGATTTCAAATGAGACACAGTTGGTTTCAATTGGCATTTTATTCTTTGCTGTTTATTTTCAAATGGGAATCAAATGGTTCCAATTGGTATGCTTTCTCTCTGTTTGATTTCCTCGATCAATTGGAAATTTCAAATGGGACGCAACTGGTTCCATTTGGTTTGCTTTTAGCTTGTTTCCCCCATCAAACGGAGTTTCAAATGGGACTAGGTTGGTTTGAATTGGTATTGAAATGGTTTCAATTGGTTCTTCGGTTGGTTACAATTGGATTGTGAATTGGCATTCAAATGGTGTCAATTGGATTGAAATAGTCCAACTGAGAAAAGGTCCGAATTTACTATCCAAACCAACTGAACCCAATTGGATTCCAACTGATTCCAAACAAAAGCAATAGGTTTTGGAATTGGTTATTGAATTGGTAAGTGAATTGGATCCAATTGCTATGTGAACTGGATCCAATGGGTAAGTGAATAGGATCCAATGGGTAAGTGAATTGGTCTCAATAGGTAAATGAATTGGACATTTTTATTAGGGCAAATTGAAACTTCACAGATGCACTTGTAAGGAGGATGATTGTAATCTTCTTTATGTACAATAACTTTAGTTCCCTCCCCCCTGGAAAACAATTTTCTTTTTTAAGCTACACCCTCCCCCTGGTAAGGTAACATCATTCTTACAGTAATTAGACCCTTGAACAAAGAGCCCCTTTGATTCAACACCATGTGCTCAGCATTCCTCCTAGACCCACTCAGTTTGCAGACTGGCAGTGAAGAACACACACCACATTTTTATGAGTTTTCTGCCCATCGCTTAGTCTGCCGTTTTAATCGGTTGTCAAAGCTGTTGTGTTTATTGTTTTGCTACCCTCTTATATACTGTGTTGGCTTTCGGTTTTTCTAGTTTTGCTTGTGGTTAGGTTTTCGTTTTTTGTTGAAATTCATTCATTTTTTTTTAGCTTGTATTTGCTTGACTCTAAATTTTGTTGAATCCACGCTCCTATTTCTTTTGACCAGCAAAGTTTCATTGGCTTCTAATTTTTTCGTAGTTTGACGTAGTTTCATTAAGTGCATTTTTTTTTAAGATTAAAGTTAATCTAGTCTTGTTGATCACAAGTTTGATTGAATTTGTGGTTAGACACTTCCTTTTTTTATATCGTTGTTTGGATTCTGTTGAGCATTGCCCCCTAAGCAATAAATTTTGGAATTTCATTTTTGGTTTTTTTCCTCCTTTCTATAAAACTTGCAGTCGTTTGCCTCCACCTAATTTTCCTTGCGACTCCTCCCTACCCAATCAAATTTGAAGTTTTTATTTTAGCGAGTTCCCCAAATTCTGGTTTGTTTGTTTTTTTTGTTTATTCAGATTTTATTTTAGGGTGCCATTTTTCCGTGCTACACACTCATCTAAACTAAGTTTTAAAAATACTGAGCATGCGACTTTACTGAGATCCAACTATAAAAACATTTAATAAACACCTTCACAGAGTTTCTGTAACAAGTATAAAAATATAAAGTCTACAGTATGCGTCAATAAAATGAATCAAGATAACATTTCAGCACTAGTTTTGAATGAACTGTCCGCTGAAAAAGAAAGAACACGGGTAAAAATTTTATTAATTGAATAGTGTTTGTGATATTTGTGTTTAATGTTGATTCATAAACCAATATACGTGTACATGCACATGTACAAATGTCACGAGGAAATGTGTTTCTCACACAAAAGAAGATTCTACACATAGTGTGACATGTATCACATGTTTCAACTGCATGTGATATTATTATTTTAAGCTATTGATATCAATGTAGAAAACTCCAAGCCAAAAATTCAGAAATTTACAAAGACTGACTCACTGGTATGACATTAGGTAAATAAAAATTATGACGAAAACTTACAAACCATCAGTTAAATTGAACTAAAATTACAGTAAAAGTTATAACAAGTTGTAAAAAGGTTATCAAAAAGATTGAAAGATTTAATGATCCTAGTACTAGGTTGCAAGCTTCATAAAGGGGGTTAAAGTGAAAAGTTTTGAGGAGACAAGAGACTTTGCAAATTTGTCAAAATAACTGACAGTGACATTGCTCTCAAGGGAGTATTTGATGATGATCAAGGACACTCAAATACTCAGATTAACTTTAATAAACAATTATTTCTCTGGCTGGTGCTTTTTTTTTATTTATTCATTATTTGAGACTGGTGCACTGTGATAGAGCTTGACCAAACTGGACCCTTGGAGACTCAGTTCAGGTTTTAACGACTGACTGCCCTTTACTAAGTATGCAAATATAATTTATTAAGCAATCAATAATATGTTCGCAGGTCTAAATTGTTTTGAAGTAATAAATTTCAAAGCACGCTAACACTAGGTCTGAACTGTTGTTACAAGCTATGGAAGACTGAGCTTTTTATTATCTATTTTAGGGCAGATGCAAAATTTCCAGCAAACAAAATGGACAACTACATGATGTATTTCAGCCTAAGAAATTACTTACAATTTCAAATTATGCATTCTTTGTTGAACAAACCAACTTCAGTATGAAGTTGTTGACTCTCCCTTTCTCTATTGAAGCCACATACAATGTGCATGTATATGTAGTTAACCAAATGATGAGCCCCTTTGGTATTTCAAACAAGCAAAGTCGTTCAGGATCAAAGCACAAGTTGACATACATGCACATGTAGGGCAGAGCTGATAGGGCAAACCCTAGACACATATCCGAATGACTTCTTTTGGACATGCACCGTAGGAATACCGCATTGGCTCATTACTAGTGAGCAGAGCAGCGACGTTAGAGAGAGCACTACACATGTACATGTACAGTTCCACCCTCTCTCGCCTTATCCTGAGTTAATGTTGTACCTGGCCTTCAGTCGATTGTCTGTCTACAGTCATTGTAATCTCTTTCGGTAATGAAACTTTTATTGATCATGGAAAGCTTTTATTTTTAATAATGCTTCACCATGTTTGAAGTGCGTTTGTGCCGAGTACATGTACAATACTGGAAAGTTACCCAGGAATTACCAGGCAATGTATTCAAAGTGGCCAAGTGGTATATGCCATGCCACTGATGTGGCCATACACTGGAAAGAAACCTGAACTGCCCATACCAGGATCCCAATCTCGAGACAAACCAAATGTGATGAAAATTATTGTTATACAGCCTCTGGCCATGATGGCATAGGGGAATTTTTCTAAATTTAAATCAACATCTGCCTATCATTTTGAAGTCCAGCCCCACAGGCTAAAATGTGCAAATCGAATCACATTTTTTTTGACAACTTCTCTGGTTGATTTAGTCACTGGGGCAGAAACGATTTGAAGTACATGCACTGTGTCACATGCTTGTGAAATTTCGGAAAGGACCAAACACACAAACCTGTTTCGGACCTGCCGAAGCACATTTAGCCAGACTCATATAGTGCTAATAAATCAGTTCATTTGCTAGATTTTGACTCTTTATGGAAATCACACTTTCAAGTTTAATTTTTCCAAAGCTAATAAAACATTTGTGGAGTCACATCATGGGTTCTGGAAACAGGGTCAGTCAGGTGACCTGAACAAAGGTATTTTTTTTTATTTGGCCTTATGACACTGTCAAGTGCTTCACACATGTACATACGGAATATTCTAAACAAGCACTTCCACCTGTCTAGAGAAAGACATTGGCTACATGTATTTCAATAGTCAACCATACAAATACTGGTAAAACTTTACATACAATTATACACCTTAGTCCATGATGCAATAATTGGACCAGTTCTGGTGGTTGTCCCTAGATGTTTTTATCAGCAACTGTTGAGTTGTTGGTTTGTGTATGTATCACTCAATAAAACATCTCTTGAATAGATGATTCAATGTGCCACCAAGAGGTTGCCACAGAAGGGCCAATTTTTCACAGCATATTGTAGGAACATGCTGACAAATCTTATTTGCTGGCTGCCCACAGAGAATTACAATTATTCCTGATGTTTATCCAGGTAGTAGATTCAAAAGTGTACATGTATTTCAAGGGTGAATTTCAATCAATCGTATCTTTTTTTCCATTGCATGAAATGCCCGGCCCTTTTATGAATCGTCCCACGTTGTCTACTGACATTGGCTCCAATGGAAATCGTGGCAAGCGGGCCATGGTTTTATTAATTGTTAACTTGACAAATGGCCTCTCTGTAGCAACCTCTTGACATGCTGCATTGCGATGCCCCGTAATTCATGGACTACTCCGATGGTGTGCTTACACAACCATCCCTTGAAAGCTCCATCATGGAATCTTTGAGGGAAGATTCTGAAATCTGACAGTTTTAGAACCTTGAAAACTAGCGATAGATAACCCATTCCAAATGACAAGTATCAGATCAACACTTCTGGCCACATCACTGCGGCTTGGCCTTCAAGAAATTTGTAATCATTTGTAATGCAGGCCCAGGGGTGATCTCGGGCACCAGATGACCCGAATTCTTGACGGTCATAAAGGTTACCTGCTTGTACTCCTTCACGAACCCTGCCACCTGTCCCTGGTACACCCAGGGTCGGCGCTCACCAAGCTCGGTCTGATTCAGCGAGGCCACAAACTTCTGGTCGCTGAGGAAGTTGCAGATGTTGTCTGCATCACCGTTGTAGACCAGTGCCCGGTAGCGTGGCAGTAGGGCCTTGAACTGGCTCCGCATGGAATTGTACTGCTTGGAGTAGTTGGCTGCCAATGGAGGGCTGCAAAGGCAGAACAAGTTCCATTGTAGGGTCATTCCATGTCAAATCACTTAATGGGTTAAACCTGACTTATTCAAACTGATTTTTCGTTGGGATTTTCTGAGATTTTTCAAGGGCACCAGGTCACTCGACTAAATTCGCACGAAATTCCATGGCACTGAAATTGTTCACAAAGGTTCAAAAGCCTGCATCATGAAGGCAATACAGTATCATTATTTAACCAAGTGCATTTGAAGTTTTTCAACAAACACGTTTGGCAGCACAATGAACAAAGTCAAATGAAAGTCAAAGTGGACCACATAATACTTAACAGTAATAGTGCTTCAGCAGTGCAGCGCATGCGATGACCTCCTTGACATTGCCAGCACCAAAGTGCAGCTTATACACTGGTGCAGCTAATACGCCGATTTCAAATCTAACTAACTCCCTAACTCCCCAGAGTGATTTACTAGGAACCATACCCATTCACACAAATTCCAACACCATATGGTAAACTGTGGACAAAAACTGTTGGACTCTGTTTATTTTGGGTATGCCTGAACCCATGTTAAAGCACCAGCAG